AGAGCATATGCTCTATGGAACGATCAATATCAGCACCACCCCAGAGGGGGTGGTGTCCATTTAAGTCTCCCAAAAGTAAAAAGGGAGGTGGCAACTGGTCAACAAGAGCGTCAAGGTCCGATTGATCATAAGTCTCCCCAGGAGACAGGTAGAGAGAACAAACAGTGATGGCACAACCCAAGGAAACACGTATGGTACAGCCTCCAAGGGTGTATCGAGGGACATGGATAAGAAGGGCACATGCTGGTCGACCACCAGTGCCACCCCTCCGTGAACCTGCCCATCATACAACCTGTCATTCCGGTACAAGGAAAACAGCCGAAGAGTGACTGTATCGGCAGGTTTCAGAAATGTTTCCTGTAAGGAGAGACACGCGGGATGATAGGATTCAATCAAGGCCTTAATGTCATCGAGATTCGAAAGAAAACCTCGACAGTTCCACTGTATCAAAGTAGCCATTTTTATGTATGTTTAGGAGAAGAGGGTGGAGAACCCTTCGGTTTACGACCATGCCATTTTTCTTTACTAGATGGAGGTCGATCGACCTCCATGGATCCTGCCCTTGAAAGAGCGGGCAGATCTCTGTCATCAGAGTGAGAATCTAATGACTGAGGACGTGATCGAATAATCGTCCTGCATTATGGGGCCAAAGAAGGACCCGCATGGACACCAGAGGCTGGTGCCCGAGGAGGTTGACCCAGGCAGTCACTGGAAGGAACAGAGAGATTGGGGTAGACGTAGATTGATCAACTCTATTATCCATGGAGGGCAGAAGACCCCACACATGGCGTGAAAAAGACTCAGATGGAGGCACGGAAAGGTCCGTCTGCACTCCCACTGTAGCAGTGGAACATAGTGCAGAGGCATATGTCCATGATGTAGGAGGGAACAATAGCTTCCGAGGATAAGAGATGTTATTTAGAGTCTTCAAACGCTGTACCTCTTTCTCCTCCACCCACTTATGGCAAGACCTAAAGTAGGCGGGGTGGGAACCACTACAATTAACACAGTGAGGGTCCATTTTGCACTCGTAGGAGTCATGGTCCTTGCCACCACAATGAGCACACATCACAGAACCACGACAAGGTGTCTTTGAGTGACCGAACTGCTGACACTGAAAACATCAGAGAGGGTTGGGAATATAGGGCCGTACCTTACAGTTTAAATAACCTGCCTTAATGGCGGCAGGTGGACGTGGTGATGAAAATGTCAAAATTAAAACTGAGGTCGGCACCATAATTCCATCTTGACTTGTGGAGATCCTTCGAACTGCCGAAACTCCTTGATTGGAGAAACCAGCAAGGATCTCCGTCTCGGGGATAGATTTCAAATCCCTCTCAATGTGAGGAATTCAAGGAAGCGTGGGGAGTAACCTCAATAGGTATATCCCCAATGGCCTTTGAATTCAAGAGAAGTTCACTGTGCTTAGGATGGGAAGTTTCTACTAAGATGTCTCCAGAACGTAGCTTCTTAACAGCAAGCCCCCTCTAAGCCCTTCTGAATAAAAAAAGGAGACATTTGCCTTAAAGATTTATCTGATAGTGAATGCATGATTAAAAAGTGAGGTACAGGTGTACTGTGTGATGGAGACTGCTGTTCAGAGTCTTCTAGGCGTGGTCATTTACCAATAAGCAGATTTTTAACATTTTTTTATTTGGAATGGGGATCCATAATTAAAGAGAGTAGTGCGTCCCCTCGTAGGACTCCATGGCGGGTGGGGTCAGTGGGCACTGAATCTATTCTCTCTATACTGCAACCCCCACTGACATGCAATTTTTTTTTCACATGCAGGTTAGTCATAATGCAATTTAAACTGAAATAAATATCTCCAATCAAATAAGACCTAAGGGCGGATTTAAAGGTAGTTTGAAACAACATCAGACTGCCAAGAAGCTGTGCAAAGACAGCTTGAGATAATTTCAGCTTCTTTGATAATTATGAATAATAAAGAGACATTTCTTAAAAACAAAAAATCCTATTTCTTTTGTATTTAATATAGTTGAACCCCCTCACCAAACTAAAAAACTCTTAGAAACTCTACTGGTCATATAAAAAACATTGATCAAGGAAACTTTTTTTGGCTTCACATCAATGAACTTCTCTTCTTCAAAGACTTTTTCTTAAATTTGTTTATAATTTGCAAAGAAGAATCTCTAACATACACAAAGATTCTTACCACTCTTTCACTGTATGATTTTTTCAATTTTCCCATTTGTGTTGTCATCTTTACTCTGAAGTGAATTTCATTACTATCCTAAAACAAGAAAGTTAAAATAGTAAACAATTTTATGAGCTTAAAGGCAGTTTATGGGCAGAATAGTGTATTCATTTCAAAACAAGAAACAAACTTTAAAAAACTACATTGTATTATGATTTTAAATTAAGTTTTAGAAATGTGACAGCCAGTCATTCTTGGATATTCCTTGTGTAAAAAATTAGTACCATCTATCCAGATACAAATTATCAAAAATTTTCTATAAAAGCAAGCTAACTACATGGATAAGGACTAAAAAATAGCCTGATATATAATGTAGTCAATTTATATACCAGGCTAACTAGGAGTATTAATTGCCATAACATAAATCACATAAAAACAAAAAATTATCAGAATGCGCTGATTAATAAAACTGAAAAAGCTTATACATAAGTTTGAATAGACATGAAGATGGAAGTTTTAATCCTGATAAGTGTGGTTATACGGTAATAAAACTGGAAGTGACTTTCTTTTTGTGTGACAAAAGCAATGGTGTTGTGGAAAAAGAGAAGGATTTAGGCATGATTATTTATTAATCTTAAAGCCTTCTGAATGCTTAGGTGTGGTGAACAGAAAAAATTGAATTTTGATCTTATTACACAAACTTTGAAACTAAGAACAAGATAGATTTTATGGTCTAATACAAAAAATAGGCAAAGTGCCTTGGAATGGGTTACTTGTACTAGAATGAAACTTAGTTTAAATCATACAAGCTACGTGGAGAAACTTACTGAAGGGTTTTAGACCTTTTTTCTCTGGAGTATAAGAGAATTAGTAGAAACCCGATGCAGATATTAAAATATACTAGGAGGTTACAGTTTTCTAATGGCTGCTCTATTTGAATAATAGTATGAAAAAGTTGGATAAGTAACTTCAATATCAGAAACAACAGGTTTAAATTTTATAAGTATAAATACAGACTTGTTATTTAACATATATTATTTTACATTTAAGTTACTTTAAATGATATACACGACTTTTAAATAGCAGGAAGAGCTATACTTAATCTGCATTATAACTATTATTGTTTTTGCCTAATGAAATGTGACCTCAATAAGCCAAATTGCCTTCCACCAAAGTAATTTTTCTCATGTTATGATCTGTAGCAAACTCCATAAAGCCCAAAACAGCAATTTTCTTCCTTGCACCAGACTATTTTCGGAAACAGATTTCAATATCAAAATTTTATAAGAAATCAAATATTTCTGGGTTATAATTTTTTTTCCACTCAAAATAATAATTAGAAAGTATTTTACTTATGAACTAAAAATCAACAGTATTTGGCAACATTCAAACTAAGAAATGTAATGGAACTTAGTGAATGGAAAGTTATACCTCACTGTAGATTCTAATTTTACAAGCCAATTACCTTCATATATAACCTAAATTTATGCCTAATTTTTATCTTATAATGTTTGTCAAGCCAAAGTTATGTGGCAAAAAATGTACCTAGAATCTTATTAAATGATCTACTAGATTTCAAGAAACTGTTACACAAAAGTTTGTTTATGAGAAAGAGTGGCCACAGCAAACACTTCAGCTTAGAATAGCTAGAAAACAAAGTGAACAAATAAGGATTCTTAAAAATTTATTGATCTTAAGGTTTAGTACTTTTCATTGATACACCACATAATATTTAGGAGTAAAAAAATTAACAGACAGGCAAACATTTTTAGCCAGTAAGTTACAGCACCTGTTGGACATAAGGGCAAGGTGACAAAAGGCCACTCAGTTCATTGAGGTTGCCCCTAATCCAAAAAAGAAAAAATATGTTTGTCAATCCAACTTAAATATAGCCTTTCACATCTAAACCTCCATATATCATCAGACAAAACATTTAACAAAATCACTAAAGAACTGTTTACAGCAAGTTGAATCTAAGCCTTCTACCCTTAAACTTATTATCGCTAATATTCAAGATCACAATTCCAACCTTTTAATTTCATGAATCAGGTAGCCCATAAAAAGGCTAACCAAAACCTTAATTTTAACCATCTGAATCAAATTCACTTTTTCTTCTGTGCCCCTAAGAAAAAAGGTCCAAAACTCATAATTCTATCCTCATAGCTTAAATAGTTGAAATTATCATACAATCAAGAAACTTTAAAAGTACAATCCACTTAACACTAAGTTTGAGGCAGTAACTGACAGGCATAAGACAATTGTTAATTGAGAGGAACAGAATACTGAATAGTTTTTTAAATCAAATTAAGTCTTATTTTTTTATGTCTCCTCACTAAAGATCAACAACTTTTTGAATTAACATTAAAAAGGAAGGTGTAACTTAACTATACATATAATTTATTGAATGTACACATAATATTTGAATCAATTGTCAGAAATAATTTATAACTTTCTGAAATTTAGCATTTTATGAATATTTGGGGAAAATGTTTTGTGCTTCTCTTTTATGAGAGCATTTCAGTTGAGATTAAATTTTTTTATGAAAGCCTTTGATAAGTCCCTTGAAAGTAATTAAGAAGTGTGAATTCTACAGCTTTAGCAAAAAAACTAGTAGAAAATTGTAGTGGCAATACATATTAATATTATTCTGAATTGAAGTATGTCATTATTGTATTACAATAAGAGTTTCTTTTTCAAACATTTGTTTTAAACAGCTTATTGGTAGGTAAAACTTATAAAGAAATGATGCTAAGATCGCCTGATACTATTGAGTATGAGTTCTTTGTTTTCTAAGAAGCATGTGGATAGTTTTAAGGACTTAGCTAAAACAAAATTAGTTTCCAATATCAATAAGCATAAACAAATGCAGTTTGGGCATGGAAATCTGATAAGAACCTATTTCTTGGGTGAATGGAACAAATTGTTGTGTTCAAAAAAGGGGTTAGGTGTAATTGTCAATAAAAACTTGAAGCCTACAACTAAATGATGGAAAGAGCTACTCAAAGAAATTTGAATTTAAAAGTTAGAAGGTTATTTTCTTTTTGTATTTAACTCTGGTATTTGTTTTTTAACTACCACGTTCACTTTTGATTCTTTTATTATAAAAAAAGATTCTTAATTTGGAGAAGATGCTGCTCTGAAATGATACTTCTTTCTTTAAGTTTAAGGCATGTGTGGGTGAATGTTAAAATGCAAGTTTCGAAAGTCAGATATATAGGATTTTATTGAACAGTTTCTCTGTAATTATAAATGATCTGCCTGATGTGTATTAATTTACATTCATTCTAATGTTTGTTGAAAGGATGTATGGTTGTGAAAAATGATACACCGTCTTAGTTACTGATTATGTTTGTTCAGATTTGCTTATCTTTTTTCACTTATTGTACTTCTCTGCTTTATTTCTAATATGACTTAATTAGGCATTTTATTTTTTTGAGATGAGAATAAACAAACTCTGGAAACAAACTGCAAAGACTTCACTTTCAAAGTGATCGTACTACTACTAGTATTACAAGAAAATGTTATCAATTCCATAATAAATTGAAATATGTATAATGGTTTAATATCATATCTAAATTTTAATTAAATTATTTTGTCAAACCAGAAAAAAATTTAATTTTCAGTGTGTTATCAAATAATCCGTATTATATTGAACTATTAATGCTTATTGCCTAGCATAAACTAGAAAATTATATATTAGGCTTAACATTAAGCCTAATTAGGCCTAGCTCACCTGACCAACTACTTTCAATTTTATGTATTCTGAACCGGAGTCTCCTCCGTCTGGTTTCTGTACCTGCAAAAGTAAACAAGAACTGAACTTCGGAAAGCAAAAAAAAACATCTTTCAAGCATAAGCATAATACTACCAGGACATTCTTTCGAAAACTTTACCTGTTGTTGATCTGACATTCTTTACCGTGTTTGTTGATATTCGGCGTTTCCTTAATGTACAGTTAACTAACACGAGGGCGCTAACGTCACTATTTAAAAAAAAATAAAACAACTGTTGTAAAAAATTGTGAATATTGATCTAAAACTAAACGATGTTCATGTTTGTTTGTTTTATTGTCGATTTTTTGAAACGTTTCTTTCTGTTTTGTCTTTTTGCCTTAAATCAAAATAAAATATAATAAACCAATTAAAACGTTTCTTAAATCATAAATCATTCAAAAATATTTTATATCGTTAATTTCTATTGGTCGGTTTTTAGTTTCCTATTTCGAGCCTCGTGTTGTCGGTAGGCATGTGATGACGTTTGTCGTACGATTAAATTTGTGGTATCGGCTTGTTTAGGAATTAGGAGTAAAACGTTGCCTAGCGTTTGGTGGATGGTGAGTGACTTACGATGCACTGTTTTTCCTATGATGTTAAATGTATATTCTTGTGTTATCAAAACATAATCTGATTAAAATAAACAATATAACAGTGTAAACTAATACAAAGTTTAAATTTAACTTTAAGTACGATAGTTGTAATATTATTCTCACCTGAACTTAGTCTTGGACTTGATCAGCATCATGATAAATTGATACATACTAATAGTAATAGAGGCGTACTACTACTAACTACTGAGCACTAGTGATTACTACTACTAGCACTAGCAGCAATAGCAATAAACAACTTTACAGTTACTAACAGCCAGTTCAGAAAACAAATAGTAAGTATTACTCATTTATTGTGAAGGTAATCAGTATACTTGCAGTGTAGCATTACCAACCATGCCTATTTATCTAGTAGTATTATTAAGCGAATAATATTAATTTATAATTATACTTTATAAATTATTGCAAAGTTATTTAGCAAGCTTGCTACCCATAATATTTTTACAAGCTTTTTATTGTGAACTAGTATGTGAGAAATTGTATTTTGTTATTTTAATAAAATTATTGTGTGGCTTTCTATATGCCTCAGAACCAGGATGTGTAAAATAATTAATTCCCTGCCATGCAATTATAACTGGTGTTTAACTTGCATAGTTGAGAGAAAAAGAAAGGGATTTTAGCAGATGGCAGTGTGATAGGTTGTTATGCCAGAAATCTGTGTACTATGTCTTCTTTTATGCTGCATATTTGATAGTCTAATGTTCAGTACTAATTTGTTTATTAAGAGTGGCTGTAACCTCTTGGGTATGGATTTTTGAGTGACAGTGTAACATTAAAATATGATTTTATGATCATGTACCTCTGTACAGTATTGGAAATAATGTGGGAAAAGGATATGAAAGGCAAGTACAATGAGAATGCAACCTCTTTGTTGTGTGATACTGATAATGAACTGCATCAGAATATAACCACATATTGATAACTTACATGGAAAATGTCACACCCATTATAAATTATTCAAATATAGTCAGCCATACCGTGTCCAGTAGTAATAGTATGATCAGTTATGGCTTTCAGGACTATTGCACTACAGGTGTGTAGAAATAAACAGTTTGACTGGTCAAGGACGTTCCTTATGAAAAAAATTGCAGAGAGTCTCCATATTTCGATAGGTATATACAAGATTGTGAAGAAGGTATTTTAAGTTACCATTTTTAATATTAAAACCAAAATTCTCTCAAAATGATGTTAAGAATCTCAAGGTATGTTCATTGCAAGATAAAGAAAGGTTGACTATAGATCTTGCCAATGACCGTGCTGTAAATATAGGTGTGAATGTTACCTTGAGAACAGTAACATACACATTAGCACACAATGGTCTCAGTTGACATATAACTACTGAGAAATGGGTATTGGGTCATAAACAGTGGAATAAGTAATGCTGAAGATGGGTGCTCTTTACAGATGAATCCAAGTTTGAATTACTTGGTGACAATCAAGGATACTTTGATCAACAGTGTAGAAGAGAATCTGATAATCGGTATACAACATCTGCAGAGGATCAATACAAGTTTGGGACTGCATACCTGCCAGTGATGTTAGTGATCTGTGCAAAACTGATGACATCCTGACTACAGGCAAGTACATATAGATTCTGATTCATCTTGCCATTCCCTGAAGAACACTACTCAGTCAGGGATTCATCTTCTAGCAAGGCAGTGAACCCAAGCATACAGCAAATGTGGTAAAATGATAACTTGATGATAAAGAGGAAATGGGAAACTAATAACCATGACTTGGTTTTCACAGAGTTTTGATATGAGCATAGCATTCTTGATCACTGATGTCATTTGAAGGAGGGGGGGGAACAACAGGGATGGCCCTGTTATCAATTAATTGTATTGATAGGAACCGAGTTAGTAATGTTTGCTGATGATATTTAAGTCATGGGTATTTCTAGCTGTATTGATGATGATGGGGGTACTTGAATCAATTGTAAGTTGAACAGATATTTGGTTAATGACTTTTAGTTGTAGTAAGTAAAATGTAATGCTTTTGAGTTATCATAATTTGGATCATATGTTTAATATGAATGGGAACTAACTCAATAATGTAACTGAAGAAAAGGATCTTTGCACAGTGGTGGATAATTTACTCAAGCCATCAAAAGCCAATTTAGAAATACTTGTCAAAACAATCTCTGGGAGTACAACCCAACAATGATTATAAACGTACTGCACCTTTTATATTTCTGGTAACATTTTTAAATATTTCTTTTTGGTTCTTCATGCTGCAGTTGCCAAAGTTTCCAAAAATTTTCAATTTCTGTGCATATGTCCAAACCTGAAGCTATGTTCAACAACTGCCAATTTCACACCCTCCTGGAGCTAAGTGCTATTTCATTTAATTTGAAAAGCATGACAAGGGATTATTTGACCTTTCAAGACTATTCCATTTTGTACTGTAACCTTTATGTTATATCCTATTTGCTATATCCAACCGTGTTATTTAAATTACTTATTCAGTCTCCTCTTCAATGTTGCAGCTTCTACCATACCTGAAGTTAAGCTATTCTGTAGACTGACCACCCTGTTAGAAAAGTAAAATTTGTATCCTCTAGTCTTGCTGCCTGCAGGATTTCATTTGATTCTTTTAATATTGACAGATGACTTACAAGGCTTTTGAGAAATAAAATATTGATATCTTGTGGAAAATATAAAAGGAGTTCAAATATGGCATTTTAATTTCCTCAGAATTTCTGTGTTCCACTTCTCAGGTATCATACATATGTATTTTCCCAAAACAATCAGACAAAAATAACTATCTAAGGCTTGCTCTGATTGTGGAGCTTTAAAGCTGATCTAGGTAACATGTCTCACATAATTATTTTATGATGCATTAAGATTAATGATGCATCCAAAATTTTTACAAATCCTTAAGTGACTGCAAACTCCTAATTGAAACATTACTTGTATTGTTTATTTCATTCTCATATTGTCAAGTGTTCTATCTTAGCTATCCAATAAATTCAAATGGCCAAGAAAATATAAGTCATCTTAATTTTCTTTGTTTTTAAACTTGGAAAAAGGACTTTACATATTTGTAATTGAATGTACTTTTTAATTTCAATTACTTTCTTAGTCAAATCACTGTCTTTCTTTCTTAAAAATAAGATCTGCCGGTTATACCATTTTATATTGTATAATAAAAGTCAATTACTATCTTATATTTTTATGTAATGAATTCCTAACAAAAAAGTAAAAAATGAAGAAATGTACCAGTTATATACAAGTTTTTGTACCAGTGCTGCTTTAAGAACACTGTGTTAACTACACAATTGACATCTATTGATATGGTTAGATGAGAAAATGCAAGTTCTTACCATTTGATGGCTTTAAATCAAAATTATAATAACTAGCTTCAATTTGGAAAACTTTTATGAGTAGAGCTAAAGGAATTTAATTTACACTGACATACCCATAGTTACAATGCAAGTCCTAAGTACATAAAGAAACCCCTCTTCCTATATCCAACCCTGATCATTAAAATTTTCATCCAATCTCCTCTTGAACTCCTTCAATAATTTTATAATTTCCTGAAAAATAAATCATTTTAAAGTTTTATTTTTTTCTCAAGTTTGGTCATGCATAGACAGCCTTGAACAAATAAGATTTCCCTTGATGTTCACATGTTATGGAATTTAAAAAAAAAACATTTTTCTTTTTCATTAATGTTGAAGGACAACCTTTAGAAATGTATTAGCTTTACTTCATGGGGAGGGGGGGGGAGTATAACCAAAACTATTATGAAATATTGTTTGTAGAAAAACTAGAAGGAAAGTCTGATAAAAGTTTAGGTAGGTTATAACATTTGCTGAACCAAAAGAGGAAAATCAGTCATTGCATGTTTGTGATGTATTTTAAGATAAAGTTTTCCTTGATCTTTATGTATGTCATGAAATATATCAGTGTATGTCACAGATGCACATCACCTTGTAAGTAACTTTGAAATGCAGTAGTTTGAGAAATAACCACTTACAGTGCAGCAGTTCATTAAAAAAAATAACAAAACTCTTATTTGAGAAAACCTGTTAATAAATTTGTTCTTTGACATACAGTTTTGACTTACGAAGAAATGTTTGCTTCGTATTGGACACTTATATGGTATGATTAAGTTAGAGATATATTTTATAATTTTATAATGTTTACAAAGCAGCTAAAACAAGTTATGAAAGTTAAAGTTGTGCACTGAGTTAGAATATAAGACTCTGAATTTTTATGGAATTTGCTGGTAGATGAACAATACATTTGTGCATTAATTATTTTTTTTTTTTGAGAACAAAAAAAGCAATTATAATTTACTTAAGTTGAGCTAATAGATTCTTATAAAAACATTCTTTTGTGCAGTGAGTTACTTCCTGTTATTCAGGTACACAGTTTTCACCTGAAATGGCTGGGTTTGGGCACTGGCAGTGGAATGCTTGATGGTTAATTAAAATATCCAGAATTTGAGTGAGAATCAGCTTATTGACTTGGACACAGTTGTGGCTGAGTTATTCTAGTATTTCAACCAGGAGAAAAAGACGAAAAAGCCTCAAACTAGCAAAATTCAAAGCTTAAAAGCATAGGCTGTATG